AAATAAAAAGAGAAATATCCTTACATTAATAATTTCATACAAAATACGAAAGTTAATCTCTAGAAGAACAGCTTCTAAGAAAAATATAAAATCAGATTTCGTTAAGTACTGATTTAACGCTGATAGTGTCTGTGTATAATATAATAATACACGATTACGTATATATTTAATAATACAAAAAAATATTTCTCTTTTATTTTTACACTTCAACTATACGAATACTTTTGCTTTTCACGTTTAAAGTAATGATCTGTCTGCTCGAAAATAACCAGGAATTTGATCGATTTTGCTCTAGGAAGAGACCATCCGCTGGTCAACTCTTGGAACACCGGTGGCTGGAGGTGGCTTTGGAGAACCCGATTTGTAAAAGTAGATTGAAGCGGTATGTGATCAAGAAGAGATGGATCAAGGCTGTTAACACGATACTGGCGTTGAGACGAATGGGTGCCCACTTAGAATTCGATTTAGCTTAATGTCCTCTATTTCTAGATTGTTTTTAGATAGCGAATTCATCCCTGAGTTTCGACCCTTGTTAAGTCTAAAGAAGCGATTTCTGAGCGACGATTCTTGGACGAGATATTTGCATTAGAGTAACCATGTGAAGTATTATCTCTTCTGCCCTGTTAAGATAACGTAACGATTAGAACATTCGCATGTGTAATAGAATTGACGTTAGACGCTTGTAACACTTTCTTAGACACCGAAATTCTAGAATTTAATTCATATCTCCCTCGGACTGTAAATTTGGAAACTGTGACAGTATTATAGATAGCATTGACACGGCGAGAACAATTCCCACTTTAACATGGAAAAATGTACGAGAAACGATTATGAGATATAACTGTACCGCTAATTCGTACAAATCTTTCAGTACTTTTCATCGTCACTATTTAACGTGTTTAACTATACATATCTTTTCTTACTTGTATACGAATGCAACACGTGAAACGTACAGTATAGCGATGCTTAATTTATTTATTGCGCAGTTAGAACTTCACTTCTTGCAGCATAGATATAATTGAAGGAAAACTTATATCAATGCACGTACGTATATTAAAATAATTAATTTATGATAATTTCTCAGCGAGGACCTTTGGAAATTTGTTTTCTCTTCGAATGTACTAGAAAATCTGTTTCCACTAAATGATAGAATTTCGATTGAATTCTCTTTCACTTAGATTTTAGGATAGCTATAATTAAAATAAGTTTAATTACAATTTTGATCAATTCTTTTCCATTTAATTCATGTTTTGGCATCAATCGACGTCTCAGTGATGTAAGTACTTCATAATACTCTATTATTATATTATTAATACGCATCAACGTGTAATTCTATCAAATTAAACAAGGTTACAATTTTTTATTTGTATTTTTTTTTTTTTTTTTGACAACGATTATGTACGTAATAAATATCTTACTCTTTTCAAGTAAGACTTGCTTGCGCCAATTTGGACGTTAAATTGTCTCTTTTTTGTTGTTACGAGTGATGAATACTACGCCCGTCGTAGATTTATAATTTATAATCCGCATTCCTGGTATGCACGACGATGCACGGCGTGTTCGTTTCTGGTCATGATTAATAAATACTAAAAGGTCGACATTGACGCCAACGTCGATAATATACACTCGTTCAGCCGCCGTGTGTATTGTGAATTTACGAGGCCTCCGCCAGATAGGAATTCGTATTATGTAAATACGCGCATGTAACGCACCAGCCGTGCCTTTAAATAAAGTCTTCTACAGTGTCGTGCACGACACGAAGCAGCACGATGGTTGTATTATATTAATAGATGTAGTTCCACCTGTTATCTGACATCTTCTGTTCTCAATCGTTGTTGCTCCTCTCGCGCTCGTTGCGCAGACAAAGCAAAAAAAAAATGATTTGACAAATTCAACGAAACTCGGTAAAGTGATGATAAAGATAAAAATAATGATAACAACAATGTTTAAAAGCCAGTTGCTTGTAAAGAAAAATTATACTATATATATATATATATATTAGTATAGTCTATTATATATACTATATTAGTATAGTTTATAGAGTATTTTATGTAATTTAAAGTTTTTAAACTAATTTACAATTTTCTTTCTAACAAAATAATTGTTCTTTCTTAATGTGGGAAGATGTTAATATATAATTTTTTAACAAAGTGGTAAATTTTAAGTTCCGATTTACATTATTAAAAAGTATAGAAATAAGTTTACTCAGCGCGTGATATAATTTTGTGAGAATAAAGTAAAACTGTTTTAATTGTGAGTTTAATTGTATATAATATTTTGAACTAATTTATTGTTTGCGTTATAAATTATAAAATATCGTTAAAAAAAAAAAGAGAGTGATCGGAGAATTCCAATTTGCCATTTAAATTTGCTTACTGATATTGCGTACAGATGGCGACATCGTATAATCTGAAATTGTTTTCAACATTGTCATGTATTTGTTACGTCGTAGGAAAGATTATGTTATTATTTCCTCAGTTTAAAAAATATTAATTAAGAATAATTATAAGTAGAGACTTTTTGAATGTAATGTGTGATAATAGTCCTTTTCTTTGTAACTTGGCGCATTCATTCCTGTCGATATTCATTGTAATTTATTTTCACAAAGATGGTGAGTAAATGACGTATTATAATAAAAATAATTTCATGTTTCTTTTTAAAAATATTTTAAAACAAAAGTACTATATGTTAAAATACTATTTGAACAAAGTGTACAATTTTGAAGGTTATGTTTGGGTTGGTTAGGAATACATAACTATTATATTCTTTAGGTTGTATGTTATATATTTTAAAGTGTAATGTATTTATATTTTAGGCTAATGTATTGCAGAACTGGAGTCCCTACGCCAAAGAATATGATCCCTTGAAAGCAGGAAGTATTGATGGTACAGATACAGAACCACATGATAAAGCTATCAGTCGTGCAATACAAGCGCATTATGAACCACCTCATGGATTAAAATCAAAACCAGAAAGAACGTTATTCGTCGCGAGGTTTGGTTCGAAGATCACCAAACATGATTTAAAAGAGGTATAATAATACTTCTGCTTTTATATTTTTATAGAAATATATATATATATATATATATATATATATATATATATATAT